GGTGCGGGTGCGGGTGCGTCGCCTCTCAGAGCTCAATCTCAACGACTTCTCCAGCAGCTTTGTTGAGTCTATTCATGATGGCCAGCCCTATACCCTGCTCCGCAACGCTCTCGACCAGAATGACATCGCATCCCGTCTTGCGTCTCCTCGAAGAAGCCTGTGCCTGTGCATTCGAAGCGTCCAGCGTCTGTCCCTGTCCCTGTCCCTGTCCCTGTGCAGCAGCACCTTTGCCGTCGCTTTGGGTTTGGCTTTCGTTGAAGATCTCCATCTCGACCTCATCTAGCATCCTAAGCCCTTGGAACAGCCTGCTGGCCGCTTCGTGAGGATCTTGAATGCTGCCGAGCGAGAAGCGATGAATAAATACTCTTCTCCCTCTTGACCCTTCGGCCAGCGACCCTGCGTCTGCATCGGATCGAGAGTGCGCGAGGGACGTGCGCAGCGCGATGGGCTGTCGAAGATGACTTTGCTGCGCCCCGGGCACAGAGGATGAATCGGTGAGCGCACTGCGTGAAGCGACGCACAAAGCATCGATCGACGTGCTGAGCAGGCTCGAGTCGAGGCTCATCACGCCTATGTCCACCTGCGCTTCGTCTCCACCCTGTGCAGCGCCTGACCTCTCCAGCTGAGCTTCGAGCAGCGCTGCAAGATGTGAGGATGTTGAAGCAGGATTTCGCGTCTCTGCTGCCTTTGTCGCTCTTATCACAACCACCCTAGCATCCGGCGAATAGTGTCGATACTTCATTCCAGGCGTCGTAGGGTGGAGCAACATCTGCTTCTCAAATTCCATCGCTTTCGCCCCGCTAGACTCTTTGCCGTAGATTCTGACCTCGATCTTGTCCGATAGATCAGCATTTTTCAGGCACTGCTGAATGCTCTCTGCGCTCAGTCCACCAGGCCGAAGGATGCGCAATTCAGATGTGGATGTGATACCATCGATCACTGTTGATTCCAGACCCAAAGTGCAAGGACCTCCATCTAAGATGAATGGCACCCTTCCTCTTGGCGAGCTCGGCTCACGCACGGATGAGCTGCCGACTGACTCCGTTCCTGCCGAGATGCCATCCCTTTGATCATCCGTTACGCCTGCTTGTAGGCGTGCATCATCCAGCGGCCCGCCGAGGTCGTGCATGACGTGCGCAGCTAAAGTAGGACTCGGCCTTCCTGAGGCGTTGGCGGAAGGTGCAGCTAGAGGTACTCCAGCAGCTCGAATCAACTCCCTGGCCAGCTCATGCTGCGGTATCCGCACGCCCACAGTAGAGTGACCAGCAGTAACTTGCCTCGGCAATTCTTTCCTGGCGGGACAAAGCAGCGTCATGGGAGCTGGCCAGAGCTTGAAGAGCGCCTCGTAAGCTTCAGAAGGTCTCCAGTTCGGGTCAACGATGCTGGAAAGCATGGAGAGATCACTGATGTGAATGATGAGCGGATTGTCAGCCGGTCTGCCCTTGGCTGCAAAGATTTTGAGAACGGCGGATGAAGAGAGAGCGTTGGCTCCCAGGCCGTACACGGTCTCTGTTGGGAAAGCGACGGCGTGACCGGTCCGCAGAGCTTTGCTGGCCGTAGAGACGGCAGCTGATCTCTCCGCGAAGCTTCCAAGGGCTGGAAGAAGCCGAGTTTGAAAGCGACGAGATGGGTATCCTGGATCATCGCGCACGCAAGCTTGCAAAGTGTCTGACTCTGGGCCGGCTGAGAGTCCATTGGCACGGACCTCGGATCCCCTTTCGGCCGAGGAACCAGCGTCGGACATCGTGAGATCCAGAGGCATCTTGCGCCAATTGCTCAATGGTGGAAGTGATGGAATGGGCCAGTGATGAGACAGCTTCCTCGCGAAGATCCCTATACGTCCTCGTTGGGTGCCCAGGGAGAAGGGGGCGGATCGCGCATAGAGACTCCTCAGCATGCGCCCGCTACGAGATCGCTGTGAGTGCGCAGCTTGGTCCAAGAACGTGGTAGAGACGGCATAAGCGCTCAGATAGTGGTGGGTTGTTGTGAATGGAATGAGTAGTCTGGCTGGAGGACATGGAGGTGGGTTGGCGTACAGGAGGGAGGCGGGTTGGCGTACAGGGGCCAGCAAGGTCAGAAGCCTTCTGCTCCGGTGACAACAGCTAGATTTTCGAGTTTTCATTCCTCCACAAGGGCCGAGCGCAGATCTCTCGTACGAGAACCCCCCCACCGGCCGGGCCGGTGGCCGTGGTCGCTTCCTGGGCGTGTGTTCTGGAATCACGCACGCATATCATTCTAAATGATCACGAATGCCTCACTCGGCTTTGCAGTCACAGTCAGTCTCGTGAAGAAGCAGCAGGCAGGTCCGCTTTGACGGTCACGAATACCTAGCTTCACCACGACAAGAAGAAGACAAGACAAGCAAGCCACGCTTTGCTTGCAGGCGTGAGTCTCTGCAAACCTACGCATCGCGTTGCGATCCCACCAAATTTAAGCGTCTATAGCAACCTTGGCCGCCAGGGTCGCGCGCGCTACGACCGTGGG